CTTGGCACTTCTGGTCTGCCACATGGGTTGGCAAAGCAAGCTTTAATGACCAGAGAAAGTGCTCAGGGAAGAGGTGCGAGTGCTGGCAATGGGAAGGTGGACTGGCATAGCCAGAGGTGGTGAGAATCGGGGCATTTGTATGGGTGGAGCACTGGCAGTATAATGCATGTGTGAGCAGAAGGGAAGGAAGGAAGGGAGGGAGGGAGGGAGGGAGGGGGGGGGGAGGAGGGGGAGGGGGGAGGGAGGGGGAGGAGGGGGAGGGGAGGGAGGGAGGAGGAGGGGAGGGAGGGAGGGAGAGGGGGGAAGGAGGGAAGGGGGAGGGAGGGAGAGAGGGGAAGGGAAGGGAAAAAAAGAGAAAGATACTATGTTGTTTAAATTTATTATTACTGTTATTATTATATAATTAATTCCAGCATATATTCCCCGTACTGTACATTTCATACCTGTGACCCATTCATTTTGCAGCTGGAGTTTGTGCCTCTTCACGTCCTTCACCTAATTCTCTGCTCGCCTCCCCTCCCCACGGCCCCAGGAACCACCTGTCTATTCTCTGTACTGTATCTGTGACTCTGTTTCTGTCTTGTTATGTTTGTTCATTTGTTTTGGTGTTTAGATTCCACATGTGAGTGGAATCATACAGCATTTGTCTTTCTCTGTCTGACTTATTTCTCTTAGCATAACACCCTCTAGGTTCATCCATGTTGTCGCAAATGGCAAGATTTCATTCTTTTTTGTGGTTGATATTCTATTGTGTATATATATATAGATAGATAGATATAAATGCCACATCTTCTTTATCCGTTTATCTGTTGATGGACACTTAGGTTGCTTCCACATCTTGGCTACTGTAAATAATGCTGCAATGAACATAGGGGTGTACATGTCTTTTTGAATTAGTGTTTTTATTTTCTTCAGATGAATACCCAGGAGTGGAATTGCTGGCATATGGTGGTTCTATTTTTAATTTTTTGAGGCATCTCCATACTGTTTTCCGTAGTGGCTGCACCAATTTACATTCCTACCAACAGTGCACGAGGGTTCTCTTTTCCCACATCCTTGCCAACGCTTATTCCTTGTCTTTTTGATGATGGCCATTCTGACAGGTGTGAGGTGATAGCTCACTGTGGTTTTGATTTGCATTTCCCTGATGATTTGTGATGCTGAACATCTTTTCATGCACCTGTTGCCATCTGTTACGTCTTCTTTGGAAAAATGTCTGTTCAGTTTTAGATTTATATATTCATTTACATAGAAAAGGGGCTGGAAGGTTGCAAAGCAAACTGCTATTAGTCATGGCTTTGGGGAAGGGGAATGGAAGCAGGGGTAAGGAGGAAGAGGAGAATTCATCCTACACTCTGTCTTCTTGCATATTGCTAAATTATTTACAATGAGAATGCATTCATGTACTAATTCTGTGCCTAAAAAAGGAAAGAAGACTGCATGTTGTAAGTTCATTATAAAACAGATCCTTGACATCTAAGGACAGGATTAGCTTTGCCCTTAGAATACGCCACTGCACATTTTTTTCATGGTTAGTAATTTGATTTTAATTTGGTGGGGAAAATGTAAACATGCTTCCTATTTTATTATCAGTATTGATGTTTTTAAAATACGATAAGCACACCGTTTGGAGAAGAGAATAAAATTTCCGAGTCATTCAGGGTAATCACTGTAATCTTTTACAACCACTGCAACTGGTCTCCATTCCCAGAGCTGAGTGAATGAAATTCCTCATGGTTTTTGTTGAGAGAGGCACTCGTAGGACTATACATTGGAACAACTTTTTAGGAAGCCCTTTGATGATATCAAAAGCCTTAAAATGTGTACCCTTTGACTCAAATTCTTTTACAGGAATATACCCTAAGGAAACCACATGCAAGCAAAGATTTAAGATGAAGGATGCTTATTGAAGTGTTGTTTATAATTGTGAAACCACCTAAATAGGGAAGCGAGTGATGGGCTGCATAATATAGACAGACCTAGGTTAAAATTTTGGCTCTTCTACTGACCAACTTACTAGCTACGTGATCCTGGTCAAATAACAACTTATCTGGCCCAGATATAAAGATGGAAATAGGGATTAAAGATAGACACACACAATGGGAATTATAATTACCTACCCCATTGACTTGCAGCATTTATTGAGTGAGATAATTCATGTAAAATATCTAGAAGAATGTTTGGGCACATAGTAGATCCTCAATAAAAGGTAGCTATTATTAAGGAAAATATGGTTCATGAATATGATAGAATATATGTGTAAGAGGATTTAAAATGGCATGGAAATACTATTTATAAAGTCAATAAAAATAGGGTTCAAAATTCTTGAATATGATCTCAGATAGGGGTTCAAACAGAGAAAAAGAGAGAGATGAAGAAAAGAGAGAGAGAAAGAGAGGGACAGAACACCAAAACAGAGAGAGAGGATTTACTAAAACGCACTGCGAAGTAAGACTAAATGACATTGACTTTTTCTCCATGCTTTTCTCTACATAGAGTATATCTGAACTACTAAAGCCCTAGCTATCCCTCTGAGGCTCCTGAGAATTCTTCCTCCTCTGGACAGAGGCATCTTTTATCATAACCCTAAGAAAGACTTTTACCAGTGATAGAACTATTTCTAGATCTTAATGGTATTGCTGAGGCCAACAATTAAAAAGATAGATGCTTTGCAGGGAAAGGTGTCATGGGTTGGGTTTCATAGAAGCAGACAGACTGAGGCAGAGATTTTTGTACAGGTAATTTATTCAGGGAATGCTCTCAGGAGGATCCTGTAAAAGAGTGAAAGAGGCAAGAAAGGTGAAGGGAAGAAATTAAGCAAGGATGTGGTTTCAGGTGACATCTAGACTCAGCTTGATCCCATAGGGAGCTGGAGTATTCATTGTCTCATAGGGTCTGTCCCATCTTGAGGCAGGGAATGAGCCTTTTGTACCCAACACTAGTCTTCAGCCTGCCCTGGAGAGAAAGGGCATAACTCCCAGATATCTCTGCAGTGAGGCCACTCCAATTACTCAAAAGCAATCCTAAGAGAGGGTTGCAGGTATGAGCTGTTAGGAGCAGCATCAGATAGATGGGCCCCATGATCTAGTAAAGGGATCCCAGGAGATCTAGATACACCATCTGCCTCAAAAGGGTTAATGGAAATAAGCCTCCCTCTACCCCTCCTCCCTTATGAGGAGTCAGGAGAGTAAGTAACACGAGGTCATCTAGTAGCTTGGTTGTCTGGCTTAGGTGGGACATGAGGGGAAAGAGAAGGGCTTATCTTCCTAGCACAATGGAGGGGAGCATGGGGAGTAGTTTAGAAGTTTCCTTTTCTTCCCAGCATGCCCATTAGCTGAGCAAGTGAAAGGGAGGGGAGGAGGATATGGAGGTAGATGGAGAAGGCAGCCAATCTGGTTGCGACATTGGTTACATTGAGTAAACAAGTGAATTGATTGAGCAGATGGGAAATATTTTGAGGATAATGAGACACAGAATTCTCAATGTTGGAAAAGAAAATTACAAAAATGGAAATTTAAAGGTTAGAAAGAATCCTAAAGTGTTGGACTGGTACTGAAAGTATCAGTATGAACTCATTGTTTTTAAAAATACATATACACAGATATTGAAATAGATATAGATGTATGGTGTGCATGTGGGAAGAGAGAGAGAGCGAGAAATAGAGACACCCAGAGAAAGGATGGATGAATAGATGATAGATAGATAGATAGATAGATAGATGGATGATAGATCTCTTAGCTGTGTCCACTGGGAGGGCCTAGAAGCAATGGGAACCCCCATAGCAATGAGCACACTGAACACTCAGATCTTGGTTTCTAAACACCATCTTCTGCCAAAAGGAACCAGGACTTCTTAGAAAAATGACTGACCCCATGGTTGGGGCAAAGAAAGTACTAGATGAGCCTGGACATCTTTTTGTACAAGAAAGTAAGAAAGAGCTCAAGGAATGATGGAGACATGTCAAAAAGACATAGGAATCATCTTGAAAGGGCTTCCACTGACCAGATCTGGGACAGGCTGAGCATCAAAATAATAAAGGCAGTAATGGATTACAACCCATTGAATAAAACAGGAATCCGCAAGTCCATACTGATGAAATGAATGGATAGGTGGGTAGGTAGATAGATAATGGATGGATAGATAGATGAGACAGGAGAAAAGAAAGCTCTTCCTTACAGAAGAATGTCAACCAATAAATGTAGAAGGAGTTATGGAAATAATAAATACAGTTTGTCATCATAGTGGTGGTTGATTCAGGCAGAAATAGTCAAAAGATGGAATGCTAAAGCTGGCGAGTAGAGGCTCTGTGGGGAGCAGGATACTGACATAATCTCTGAATGTTCCCCCTTAAAGTACTTCTTAATCACAAATGGAAAATTGATAACTTTAGGATGGAAATATCTATCAGAAAACTTGACCTGGTGATGAAAGTTAATATCACCAATGATGGGACTACTTGACGTCATGTCCCCAGTGTGAGGCACTGGGAAGAGTTCAGCATCATTTCTGTGAGGTTCTTGCCAAGAAGACATGGGCTGAGTCTAGTCACAGGGAGACATCAGATGGACCCAGGATGAGGGGCATCCTGCCGTATGAAAGGCCTCTACTCCAAGACTATTCAGGACTTGAGTGATAGGGAAAATCTAAGGAACGGTTCTAGATTGAAGTTGCCCATCATCCCACCACTCTCTTTTCACCTACATTTATTGGGTTTTGGGGAATGCTCAATGATAGTAGGTACTAAATTTGAGAATCATATGGGGTGGCGGGGGGAAGTTGGTTAAAAATGCTGATGCCAGGACCCCACCCCGAGAGTCTGTTTCTAAAGGTCTGGTATGGACCCTGGGGATATGCATATTTAGCCATCATCCCCAGAAATCCTGATGTAAGTGGTCCACAGACCACCCTTGGAGGAAAGTTGGCCGAGAAATTCAGAAAACCATAGCGATCTTCCCACTCAGTCCCGACCTTAACGCCCTTTCTGTCTTTTGCATTCCCAGGGTGACGCTGTATGCTGAGTTCCTTCCCATGAAAGCCAGAGCTAAGTGTATTTTGCTGATTGAGGTAAGGAGGATGGTCTGGGATTCTGGATATTACTCAGTGTCTGAGCAGGAGATTCCCAGGTTTCTTGAGCCATAGGACAAGGAAAAGGAGTTTAAGAAAAATATAACAGATCCATTATGCAAGGATTTAAATGGATCATTTATGTTGACTTCAACATGGTTGTTTTGCAATATGGATAAATTCTTCCATTGACCAGAAATTCAATCTACCACCCCTGAAAAAAAATGGTAGCAGGCAGGTAGTATGTCCTTCCTGAACTAGAAATGACTTTTATCTGAAAGTTGGTGCTGAACATTGTAGCTTGAGTGGACCAAACTCCTGCCCCCCCCCCACCAGATTGACTCGTGTCTTGTGTGAGATCGATATTCATGGCCACGTCTGTGGCCAGTAGGCTGCCTTAAAACTCTCTTGGACCATCCAGTCCCTCTCAAGCCCTCCCTCTGCCAGGGTCCTGTGACCCATTTTCCAACCATGATCTGGAAGATCTCAGGGCAAATACATAGCTGCCCAACAGCCCTCCTCCATGCAGTGGCAGTATTATTTGTCCCTGCTGGACACTTAGGTCCACAGTCACGACTGTCCCTAATCACCATGATTACATGACAATATTGATCACACTGATCCACAGCCCAACTTAACCATCCTGACTGTGTCTACCCCTGACCAATCAGGGTGGTAGTCAGCTGGTCCACACTGGTATGGATGAACCAGTTTAATATTGAAATGCATCTGCCAGATGATCCTGAACCCTGACTGGCCCTCATTGCCTGACAGCCTGTCCTTTCTAAGGATTCCCTAGAGCTCCCCATGATGCAGCAACTAAAGTCTCGTGAGGGTTGGGGGAGGTGTGTGACCAGGGTTCATTCTGATTGGCCAATACTGTATGGTGTGCACTCTGATTGGTCAGTTTATAAATTGTTAGCCATTTTGACTGTCCCTCTGGTTGTCAGCAATTGAAATGGACTGTGGTTACTTTAAGCAAAAGGGGATTTAGGAAGGCTCTTGGGGGCTCCCAGATGGAGAAGATGAAGGCCGATGTTTTGGAATGGACAATGGTTGTAGACTCAAAGTTGCAGCAGGAAACAAAATACTCACATTAGGATAATTTGAAGAGGGTTTCTTTTCTTTTCTTTTTTTTTAAATTTAATTTTATTTTTTATACAGCAGGTTCTTATTAGTTATCTATTTTATACATATTAGTGTATATATGTCAATCCCAATCTCCCAATTCATCCCCCCACCACCACCTCCGATTTCCCCCCTTGGTGTCCGTACGTTTGTTCTCTATATCTGTGTCTCTATTTCTGCCTTGCAAACGGTTCATCTGTAGCATTTTTCTAGATTTCACATGTATGCGTTAATATATGATATTTGCTTTTCTCTTTCTGACTTACTTCACTCTGTGTGACAGTCTCTAGGTCCATCCACGTCTCTACAAATGACCCAATTTTATTCCTTTTTATGGCTGAGTAATATTCCATTGTATATATGTGACACATCTTCTTTATCCATTCGTCTGTCGATGGGCATTTTGGTTGCTTCCATGACCTGGCTATTGTAAATAGTGCTGCAATGAACATTGGGGTGCATGTGTCTTTTTGAATTATGGTTTTCTCTGGGTATATGCCCAGCAGTGGGATTGCTGGGTCATATGGTAATTCTATGTTTAGTTTTTTAAGGAACCTCCATACTGTTCTCCATAGTGGCTGTATCAATTTACATTCCCACCAACAGTGCAAGAGGGTTCCCTTTTCTCCACACCCTCTCCAGCATTTGTTGTTTGTACATTTTCTGATGATGCCCATTCTAACCAGTGTGAGGTGATACCTCATTGTAGTTTGGATTTGCATTTCTCTAATAATTAGTGATGTTGAGCAGCTTTTCATGTGCTTCTTGGCCATCTGTATATCTTCTTTGGAGAAATGTCTATTTAGGTCTTCTGCCCATTTTTTGACTGGGTTGGTTGTTTTTATAATATTGAGGTGCATGAGCTGTTTATATATTTTGGAGATTAATCCTTTGTCCGTTGATTTGTTTGCAAATATTTTCTCCCATTCTGAGGGTTGTCTTTTCGTCTTGTTTATAGTTTCCTTTGCAGTTTATAGTTTGCTTAAAAGCAAAAGCTTTTAAGTTTCATGAGGTCCCGTTTGTTTATTTTTGTTTGTATTTCCATTATTCTAGGAGGTGGGTCAAAAAAGATATTTCTGTGATTTATGTCAAAGAGTGTTCTTCCTATGTTTTCCTCTAAGAGTTTTACAGTGTCCAGTCTTACATTTAGGTGTTTAATCCATTTTGAGTTTACTTGTGTGTATGGTGTTAGGGAGTGTTCTAATTTCATTCTTTTACATGTAGCTGTCCAGTTTTCCCAGCACCACTTACTGAAGAGACTGTCTTTTCTCCATTGTATATCCTTGCCTCCTTTGTCAGAGATTAGTTAACCATAGGTGCGTGGCTTTATCTCAGGTTTTTCTATACTGTTCCGTTGATCTATATTTCTGTTTTTGTGCCGGTACCGTATTGTCTTGATGACTGTAGCTTTGTAGTATAGTCTGAAGTCAGGGAGTCTGATTCCTCCAGCTCCATTTTTTTCCCTCAAGATTGCTTTGGCTGAAGAGGGTTTCATAAAGGGACTATTTATAAGGTCCCTGAAGGGGCAAAGGGAGAGAGTAATTAGCAGCCCAGAGAGAGAGAGAGAGAGAGAGAGAGAGAGAGAGAAAGAGAGAGTTGTATGGCAAAGGCTCTTGGAAAGGAGCTGTGACCTTCAGCTAAGGGATGCAGCCAGCGCATGACCACCCTGCAGAGAAGGAGCCAGAGGAATAAGCACCCGATTCCCTCTTTCCTCCCCATCTCCTGTGTGGCTCCCCATTGGCTGCACCCAATGTGAAACCAGAGGACAGGGGGACTGTGAATGCAGTCCATACAAAGAGCAAGGTGGAAAAGGATGGAATGTGATTCAGAGAAACAGACAGAAGATATTCAGCCCCACAGGGGAGAGACAATTCTGATAAAGGATACCGGGGCACTATTGGGCAAGGGAGATGGATGTGAGTAGACAAAAACCAATGTGTCCACTACTCTACTGGCCTCACACAATATTGATCATATTGATCTCCTTAACCAGAGCTGCCACATTGCACACTCCAGTGGGCACCATGCAAATATCATACAGTGTGGATGGTACCCTCAGGAGATAGACAACATGGAGGCCCTGGCCCAACCATATGAACCACAGGAAAAGTGATGGCCATTCTGACTTTCCTGACCCCCAAGGACCCCCTTACCAACATGGATAACGTTGTCTACAATGATCCTGAAATTGCTCACTGTGTTGACCAATGCTGCCCCATTACTGACCCCCATTCTCCCATGCCAGGTGTTCTGGGCCATCGGGACAGTGTTCGAGGTTGTCCTGGCTGTGTTTGTGATGCCCAGCCTGGGCTGGCGTTGGCTGCTCATCCTCTCGGCTGTCCCACTCCTCCTCTTTGCTGTTCTGTGTTTTGTAGGTATCCTTTAAGACATCTCAGCCTTTGTTACTTGGTCTCCTGCCATTCATTATATTTTGGTGGGGAGGGTGTGGAGGAGGGTACCAAAGCCACTTTTAAGATTATTTCTTTGAATCAGGAAATGAGACAAAGGTACAGGGCCTGGGGTGGGCCCAGTATGGGGTGTTGGGTTTCCTCCAGGCAGACACTGCTGGGATATTCTTGAGGGAGATATCAAGGGGATGGGGGATACCTTGCTCCCTCTCCCTGCACTACAAGAGCTACACTTAAGGTGAGTGTATTTGGAATAGTTGCGATTCTTAAGTTGCAAGTGACAAAACCCAGTTCAAACTGGCTTGAGTGAAAGAGACATATGATAGAATATTAAATATCTGGCTTCAGGCATGGCTGGGTCCAAGGGCTCAAATGATCCCACCGTCTCACCTCTGCATAAACTCCCCCCCACACACAGCGAGATCAGACCGCACGTTTATCATTTCATGTGAAGACCACATCCGTGAAATGCTTTACAGCCAGTGGGCCCCAAAATAAGCCTGTAGGGAGGTAGGTCTCATCTATGATAAATAACATAAGAATTACTGGTAATGACAATAGGTATTAATAATTACTTAGCATAACAGTGTAGCAGGCCCTGTGCCAGGCTCTTTATATGCATTATCATATTTATTCCTCCCAATAACCACAGGAGGTAGGACTATGATGAACCCCTATATTAGTTAGGATGGTACCAGCTGCTGTAACAAATAAAGCCGACACATTCAGTAACTTAACACAATAGGAGTTTATTTCTCATTCACAGAACAGTCCAGAATGGGTGCTTCCATTTGACAGGTGTGATTCTGGGCCCAGAGTTCCTTCCAGTTTGTAGCTCTGCCACTGTCTAGGGCTTTGGAATCTTCTACATGTAGACTGAAGAAGGGCAGGTAGAGATGTATACTTAAATAACTTGGCCAGGAATATTCTGCTCTCGTGCCATTGGTGAAAGCATGTCACGTGGCCATGCCTAGATGCAAGAGGTGCTGGGAAATGTGGTTTCTGGCTGGGCAGCCATATCCAAGGACAACTCTATGCTATGGAAAGGGAAGCATGAATTTTACTGGATGCTAGCAATCTCTGCTATATTCTCATTTTACTGATGAGGAAACTGAGGCCCAGAAAGGTTGATTGACTTGTCAAAAGACACACAGCAAATAAACAACAGAACTCATTTGAACCAAATCTTCTGATTCCAAGTCTCACACTCTCTCATTTCACAGATTGCTGTTGCTTTGTTTTATGGCGAGATCTCTATCTAGTCACTTGGGGTTGGGACTCTAGTAGGCCTAAAGGTCCTTCTGATTTCTTTCTGTCTCTTAGACTGAGTTTGCAAGACGATGCTAAACACAGGTGAGGTGCAGTTTCTTGAGAGATAGGGATGATGATGACGATGGTGAGAGTGGTGGACTGTTTTTCTTTTTTGGTGGCAGTCTTAATTTAGTTCAGCTGTCACCTGCAACTCAGCAGCACCAAATTACAGTAACAGCAACGGCAACACAAACAGATACATTAACCCATTCCGGGCACTGTGCTAAGCACTTTGTTTGGATTATCCCATTGAATCCTCTCAACAACCCTAAGAGGGAGGATCTATTATTATCCCCATTTTATGGATGAGGAAATGGAGGCACAGAGAGGTCAAGTTATTGCTCAAGGTCACAGAGCCATTATAATCAATGGCAGTGCCAGGATTTGAAGCCAGGCTTCTGGCCCCAGAGCCTCCGGCCTTAAGGACTCCACACACACATGAGAGTGTATGGCTGTGACCGAGCATTCTGTTCTGCCCTAACTGGCCACGTCTTGGTCTCCTGTCCTCATAGTGGCTGCCAGAGAGCGCAAGGTATGATGTGCTGTCCGGAAACCAGGAAAAGGCCATCGCCACCTTAAAGAGGATAGCCACAGAAAACGGAGCCCCCATGCCTCTGGGGAAACTCATCATCTCCAGACAGGTCAGTGCCTGGCGGACTGACTGTGCATGTTGCTGCACGTGCTGGGAGCATGTGTATGTGAGTGGGTGAGGGGTGCAGTGGGCAGGATCTGCAAAGGGAATTTGGCAACTTCAGTCTGTGTACTTTCACTGCCAAGTCCTAAAAGTACCACCTGGAGAAGTGATTAGCTAAATGTAATATAATGTCCCATAATGGGTCCCGTAACTACTCCTGCTTCAGTTTCATCTTTCAGCACCCATGAAGTCTGATTAGCAAATGTGATTGATTGGCAAAGGCTTGACAGTAAAATCACATTAGGAAGTGCCACAACAGACTTAGATCCAAGACACCAAACTGCCCCTGTGTAGACATCCTTAATGCGTGGTGCATCACTCCCCAGGCAACACTATCAGGGAATCCACCACACTACAAATTGATGAGCACTTACTGCAGGTGCAAGTGGGGAGAAGGGAGCCAGATTAAAGGCTGCAGTCCCTGCCCTCAAGAATCAAGCATGTGGCTTAGAGAAACATCACAAATACCCTTAAGCAAACAACAGACCCTACAAGGAAATTATTATTATTTATACATTTATTTATTTACTTTTGGCTGCATTGGGTCTTTGTTGCTGCAGCGGGCTTTCTCTAGTTGTGGCGAGCGGAGGCTACTCTTCGTTGTGATGTGCGGGCTTCTCATTGCGGTGGCTTCTCTTGCTGCGGAGCACAGGCTCTAGGCCTGCAGGCTTCCGTAGTTGTGGCACACGGGCTCAGTAGCTGTGACGCACAGGCTTAGTTGCTCCGCGGCATGTGGGATCTTCCCAGACCAGGGCTTGAACCCATGTCTCCTGCATTGGCAGGAGGATTCTTAACCACCGCGCCACTGGGGAAGCCCTATTTTTTTTTAAATAATATCATTTTTCTGACTGTTTCTATATTAGGCAAAAAGAACTGAATGGAATTTCACCAGATTGAGAGGAAGTGCTAGGCAGGGTCTGACAACATAGAAACCAGGAGACATACCCCAAATTTGCTTTGGGAAGCACAGGGTTGGGGTAGGGGGCATCCCAGAGAGTCTGGGGTGCAGGAGGCTCATTTAGTTGCCTTTGGGGAGGGACTGCATTCTCCGCCGTCCCTCCTGTGGGAAGATGCTCTGGGTGGAGAAAGCATACAGTGATTTCAAATGTGTGTTGCAAAGTGACAGTGGCAAGGCTGGATGCTCCAGTTGTGGGCTTCTCTTTGGAAAGGAGCTGCTGCTGCAGGGGCCTCTCTGTGTTCCAGGGTGCCCGGCAGCGGGGCCTGTTTTTGTTTTTGTTTTTGTTTTTTATGGAGGTCACTGGGGCAGGTGCGTAGCTGATGCAGCCAGGAGCAGCCAGGCCCAGAGAGAGAGTTCTCTCAGGTCCAGGAAGGCTCCAAGAAGGTGGTGAATCCCCCATCACCAAAAAGAGAAGAGAAGGATTTTCCAGAAAGCAGACCAATTCTCCAAAAGCCAATTTCTCTTGCCAATGTATCAGTTTACCAAAAACGTGTTTTAAGGATTATTCTTTTTGAATATATTTAGTAAATAGGGAGAGATTTTTCCTATGTATATACTAATACATATATTAACACATAGGAATATATTTTTCCTGTGTTTTTATTAATACATATAATATATTCCTCAATAACTATATTAATGAATTCATTCTTAAGTATATTAATGAATGCATCTATTCTAAAATATAGTCAATAAATACAAACATGCTCAAATATATTCAATAAGCATATTAATGAGTATTGTCTTTTTATTCAAGAATATATTACGAAATATTTTTATTCACAAAGACAATATTCATGGGTAGATTAAACCACCTATAACCCATAATCTTTTCTAAAAAAGCTTTTAGCATGTTTAAATAAGTGAGCACTTCTCAAACTGCTAAGAATAATATGTTCATTAATTAAATCTAAGAAGATAATCCATAGAATATAGATTCTATGAATATATTTTTTAAATTATTTTTCTTGTTGATGCTTTTAAAAAAATTTTTTATTGGAGTATAATGGATTTACAACGTTGTGTTAGTTTCAGGTGTACAGCAAACTGACTCAGTTATACATATACATCTATCCACTCTTTTTTAGATTCTTTTCCCACATAGGTCATTACAGAGTATTGAGTAGAGTTCCCTGTGCTATACAGTAGGTCCTTTACCTATTACCTATTCTATATATAGTAGTGTGTATATGTCAATCCCAATCTCCCGATTTATTCCTCCCCTGCCAGAATATATGTTTTAAAATAGAACATTGTAAAGCAAAGATTTGATAAATTAGTAAATTATATAAAATTGGCAAGTGAGTCATTTAGCTAATTGGTCTTTTGGCAAGTTGGCTTTTGGTGAATTGATTTTCAGCACATTAATTTCTGTCACCTTGACCTAGAGCTGGCTTTGGGTGGGGAGGGTGTGAAATGGCGGGAGGCATCTTGGACTGGTTGTTTGCTCCCTGGTCCATGGGATCGCCCAAGAGCCCTCAGAGGGGCCAAGCCTGAGGGGCCTGCTTCCCAGCTCCAGGATTCCAGGTTGGGGTGGGGTGTGGAATGTCTCCACCTCTGGACATCGCTGAGTCCTGGCTGAAGGCCTCTCTGGGCTGGGGGGCGCTGAGTGCCGTGGATCTGAGTACCGGGTTCTCGGAACCTGAGTGTCCTGCCCACCAGAAACCTCCCTCCCAGCCTCGGGTGTCCACTGGTCTCAGGCTACCAACCTGTGCCCACACATCCGCAGGGGAGGAGAGTAAATGGTGTTCTTTGTCTTGAAACAGGAAGACCGAGGCAAAATGAGGGACCTCTTCACACCCCATTTTAGATGGACAACCTTGCTGCTGTGGTTTATATGGTAAGAGCTGTTTGTTGATTCTCGGGTCCCCCTCCTCTGCGCCCTGTTTTGGGTTTTAACTTGGAGGACAGAGAACTCTTCCATCTTGAGCAGCATTTGCAAAACAGAGCATCACTTTCCTCACTTCTGTGTTATCCTGTTATTATTATTTTCTTAGCCTTTTAAAAATTTTTTTCTATACTATTATTTTCTTAGCGTTTTAAAAAATTTGACTCACTTTTTCTCAGATAAATGTCTTTTAAAGGGAAACTCTGTATACCTGCTTTAAGGAAAAATTTTAATTGCAGGCCATAGACAGAAGTCGCTTTAATTAATTAATTAATTCTTATTGAAGTATAGTTGATTTACAATGTTGTGTTAATTTCTGCTGTACAGCAAAGTGACTCAGTTATACATATATATACATTCTTTTTCATATTCTTTTCCATTATGGTTTATCCCAGGACATTGAATATAGTTCCCTGTATTACACAGTAGGACCTGGCTGTCCATTGATTCTATATGTCATAATTTGCATCTACTAACCCCAAACTCGCAGTCCATCCCTCCCCCAGAACTCACCTTTAAAGATAAAAAAGTGGCCCTCCCTAGCCTCGGGTTCTGTGTTCATGGATTCAACCAAGCCACAGATGGAAAAAAAAAAAAAATTCCAGGAAGTTCTAAAAAGCAAAACTTGAATTTGCTGTGCACCAGCAACTATTCACATAGCACTTACACTGTGTTAGGTATTATAAGTAATCTAGAGATGATTTAAACTATATGGGAGGATTGTGTAGGTTATATGCAAATACTATGCCATTTTATATGAGGGACTTGAGCATCCATGGATTTTGGTATCCACAGGGGGTGCTGGAACCCATCCCCCACGGATACCGAGAAGTGACCATACAGTAAAAAGTAGCTAGATTGCGACTTCCCTGGGGGCGCAGTGGTTACGAATCGCCTGCCAGTGCAGGGGACACGGGTTCAATCCCTGGTCCAGGAAGATCCCACATGCTGCAGAGCAACGAAGCCCGTGAGCCAC